TAAGATAGTCATTCAAGTTAATGCTATGTAATTCACAGTCTTCTGAATACAGTTTTTCATAAAATTGTTTTACTTCATGTAAGATTTCCCCTTGATTTCTAATTATTTCTCCATTATCTTTTTCTATTACTGGTATGATTTTGGTATCAAAGTTCCTGTTTTCTAAATTGAAAAAAATATCTTGTGGGTTTTTCACCCTCTTCTACCCATTTTACCTTTGACCCTAAAATATTTCCTTTAAGTTTATGCTTTCTTATAGCTTCTAAATCTTTTTGGCAAACTTTTAACTCATCTATGTTTATTACATCTTGGGCTTCAGTTTCCTTTATTTTTTCCCTCAGATCTTGCTCTTGGCTATTTCTCTGTTTTTTCTTATAAGATGCATACGAAATGGTTTTTCTCCTAATTTCAAATAATAGTGTTTCTAGAAAGAGTTGATCATTTATAGAAAATTGTAAGTCTTCATTTGAAATATTATCTATATTATCAAGGTTATATACAGGTACAGCATACTGAGTTTTAACATCTAGTATATGTTTGTTTATTAATTTCATTTATTCTAAATCGTGAAGTAATGAATTGTTAAATTTCCATAGTCCTTTGCCTCTCAAACTCATTAAATTTTAATGTTATACATGGAGAGGAGTGATCAGTTCGATAGCCTGGGTCAATATTGGTCTTTTCTACACACGATAAAAGGTCTTCAGAAACTGAAAAATAATCTAGTCTTGCCTGTTTTATTGGATTTGTTCTTCTCCATGTGTATCTTTTACTGTCTGGATGTTGTTCTCTGTATATATCAATAAGCCCCAATTCATTTATTATTTCAATAACCTTTTCTCTTGCCTTAGGGTTATTAACTTGTCTATAATTATAACAATCTAACTCAGGGTCCAGAACCAAATTGAAATCACCACAAATGATAAATGAATCATTACCGAAATCAAGGATACTATCTACAATTTGATCGTAAAAAGCAGGTGTATCCGAGTTTGGTCCATATGTGGTAATAAGTGAAACTTTCTTATCTTCTATTATAATGTCAAGTGCTAAAAAATTTCCATCTGTACTTTTCTTTTCTTTCATTACCTTTACTTCAAAATTATTATTGAGTAGGATTGCTACCCCCCTAGAATGGGAGTTGAAAGAGCTAAAATAACAGGAGTATCCCCATTCTGTTCTAATTATATTTTCTATGTCAACAGTAAAATGTGTATCCTGTATACAATAAATGTTAAAGTTCATACTTCTCAAATAAGCAAAAACATCTGTACGTTTATTTTTATCTGCCAGGCCCTGACAGTTAGCGGTTAGTATTTGGACTCCATAGACCATAACATATTGGATAGGTTACATTGCATATTATTACCGACACTGCTATATTTACCTGTATGATATGTGTAATCTCCTGGCACAAGGAGAAGAAAAGAATAAAAGTGAAATAAAAAAACAAGTAAGTGAAGAAATAGAAAGTAGTAAAAAGACATGAGACGTGGTCAATGAGTAGTGACCACCATCCACGGATCCTCGTGTAGATTCTACCGGAATTACACCCAGCACGCGTAAAAAAAAAAAAAACGTAATCCGATTCATTTTCCAGACCTACTTGTAATAAATGACTGATAATAATGCATAAAGATAGACAAATTGCCATTGGATGATAAGTATATTTATCTATGGGTAGTAAACTACCTGAAGTAAAATACCTATTCCATAATATGTATATTTTTATTACTTGTGTGATTATCTTAAAAAATGTACTTTATACCGAAAAAAAAAATAGCCGAAGTAAGTGAGAGAAACTTTCAATCGTATGGGGGGAAAAGCCACAGGCAATGTCTAAAAACCCCAAGTTTTTACAGAACTAATGTCAGTGAGTAAGAGTATATATCATAGTTCAGTAATCTGACGTTCATAAGACAAAAATATAGATAAAATATACAGTTGATCAGGGGGATTTGAGGTATAATATAATTTATAATGATAGTGATATAATAAGACTACTTCATATACGTGTATACAATCGTACTGCAATAATGTAAAAGGTTACAAAAGTTTACATACTACAGCGTATAGACTTTGTTAAATAGTTGACTTACCTCTGATAAGAATAGGGTAATATCCAGAAAGAAAGAGAACATATCACACGGATATAATACATGTCTTATGTTAATACAAAGGTGTATTATAAGGAGGGATAAGAAATTGCCCATTTCTCTTTGTAAGGATATAGTAAAGAAATTCATGTTAACTAGCCTTGCTGTGTTTATAAACCATTTTTCTCAGGAATGAGATCAACACAGTAGACTAGTAGCAAATATTGATAAATTAAAATTAAAAGAAACTACATAACAGAGAGCCTTTTATGGTATATCTCCAACATATTACCTCTGCCTGAAAGTCATGAGGTGTGCTTATTACAGGACACCTGGGGTCAACATATTACCACTGTCTCAAAGTTACAAGGTGGACTTATTATAGAGTCACAGGGTGCAAATGCATTACCTCTCTCTCTAAGTCAAGAACTTAACTTATTACAGGACCCCAGTCAGCGGACAGGATGAAAATGAAATACCATTAGTTGGTAGTCTACTTCTCAACAATAAATTTGGTATGACTTCATACCAGGCCTGGGCTTATTCACAGATACATAAAGAAGTTACATGGGTGGGTTTATCACCAGATCTGGGATTATTGACAGATAAATATTGCAAATATGTATGGTCAGGCTTATTACCACACCCTGGGTTTTTTGTCAGATAAATGTAGTAGTTACATATTGGTGAGCTTATTACCACTACATGGGTTTTTTGTCAGATAAATATAGTAGGCATATATTGGTGGGCTTATTACCACTACATGGGTTTGTTGTCAGATAAATAAAGTACATACATATTGGTGGGCATATTACCACACCCTGGGTTTATTGTCAGATAAATATAGTAGTTATGTATTGGTGGGCTTATTACCACTACATGGGTTTGTTGTCAGATAAATAAAGTACATACATATTGGTGGGCATATTACCACACCCTGGGTTTTTTGTCAGATAAATAAAGTACATACATATTGGTGGGCTTATTACCACTACATGGGTTTTTTGTCAGATAAATATAGTAGTTACATATTGGTGAGCTTATTACCACACCATGGGTTTTTTGTCAGATAAATATAGTAGTTACATATTGGTGAGCTTATTACCACTACATGGGTTTATTGTCAGATAAATATAGTAGTTATGTATGGGTGAGCTTATTACCACTACATGGGTTTATTGTCAGATAAATGTAGTAGTTATGTATGGGTGGGCTTATTACCACACCTGGGTTTGTTGTCACATAAATATGGAAGTGATATATATTGGTGGGCTTATTACTAGATCTGGGCTTAATGTCAGATACATATAGTATAAAGTTATATCTGCTGATTCAGAAATTATCAGTGACTGCTGATTCAGAAATTATCAGTGACACATTTTTGTGTTCAGCTGGCTGTTGATATGTTGCCCGCCTATCTACCTATTCAATGAAATTTCAACAATATTGATATACAAATGAGTAAAATCTTCAGAGGGTTTTCTGTACCTGATGGTGGTTTTAGATGGAGCTCTTATACATGGAAGGGTTAGAACTGGTAAGATCAGTTTTCTTTTCTGGATTTTGACAAATACAAGAAATTTGTAGCTATCTAACTTGTTCTCTCAAAAAATTTAATAAATATTTACATATATACACACCAAATTGGTCACTCTTCCAGAGTATCAGATAAGACAGGCTAACAGACATATATTAGCATCACGGTTACAGACTTAATCATGGAATAGACAACCATAGTAAGATAGGAAGTCACTGGTTACAGACAATATTGTAGATAAGACAACCATAGTGAGTAGGAAGTCACTGGTTAGGAGACAATATTGTGGATTAGACAACCATAGTGAGATAGGAAGTCACTGGTTACAGACTTAATCATGGAAGACATAACCATAGTGAGATAGGAAGTCACTGGTTACAGACAATATTGTGGATTAGACAACCAAAGTGAGATAGGAAGTCACTGGTTACAGACAATATTGTGGATTAGACAACCATAGTGAGTAGGAAGTCACTGGTTACGAGACAATATTGTGGATTAGACAACCATAGTGAGATAGGAAGTCACTGGTTACAGACTTAATCATGGAATACATAACCATAGTGAGATAGGAAGTCACTGGTTACAGACAAAATTGTGGATTAGACAACCAAAGTGAGATAGGAAGTCACTGGTTACAGACAATATTGTGGATTAGACAACCATAGTGAGTAGGAAGTCACTGGTTACGAGACAATATTGAGGATTAGACAACCATAGTGAGATAGGAAGTCACTGGTTACAGACAATATTGTGGATTAGACAACCATAGTGAGATAGGAAGTCACTGGTTACAGACAATATTGTGGATTAGACAACCATAGTGAGTAGGAAGTCACTGGTTACAGACAATATTGTGGATTAGACAACCATACAGACTTAATGAATAACAATTAATAGGAGTAGACTACTGATTTTGGTTCTGTTACATAAGATAAAGTGATACCAAGCTTGTAGAAATGAATTTCAATTTCTTCTTACAACAAGGAGTAGGTCCTGGGCCATGATATTTGTGTAGTAGCATGCTTGAAGAATAGGATTTCAGGTTTACAGAAAATAGCCCTAGTCAGCAAAGTCTTAAGCTGTAGAACTGGTGAGGTATTAAGGTCCATTGTGCATCTTGTTTGCCTACTTGAAAAAATATTCTTAAATCTGAACTGTTTTGATAATTTAATAAATGTTTCTACTACTACTGCTGTTCTATCATATATAGGCCTGTATAGTCAGATAATTGTTAAGGTCCATGGGCCTCTTGTTATCTGTATATTTATCTCATTTCAGTTGAGAAAGAGGCAGAAATATTGGGTTTGCTAACCACTTGACCTGGTTCCAGCAGTACATCAGTGATGTAGTCCAGAAAGTGAATAATGTAGACCAATTATGCAGTTCACTAAAGATGGAGGATTGTCGATGCACTTTCAGTGGAGTGCCTTGAAGTCTCTTCCCCAAAGCAACCTCCCTCGATCTCGATGCAAGCATGCCTGCTGTCTCCACAGAGATAATGTCTATGTTGTTGGAGGCAAAGATGGAAATGTTGCTCTCAAAGAAATATGGAGGTTTCATATTGGTATGTAGCATATTAACATGTATTTTAATAGTGGAGTTAAACCAAATATATTCAGATGGTTTTACACTTATGCATCATTTAGTTATGGGAAGAATTTACCTGGGATATCATAACATTTATACATCATAATATCATGTTCTACACCAGATAACTTTTGGTGATGATTTGTCATACTTGGAAAGTTTTTGAAATAAAAAAACTTGTGTACAAGATATCTCATGAACATCTTGACAGGTTATGATATATTCAAGCTATAGTATCATGTTCTGTTGTAATACCTGGTGGTCAGAGGTCACACTTGACCGCTTTTGAAATGAAAATTTTGTGTATTAGATATCTTGTGATTCATATTCACAATATTAAAGTTTGGTGTTCATAGGTCAAGGTTAAAAAGTCAGTGATCACAGGTCAAGGTGAAAGGTTAAAGGTTACATTTGATCAATTTGGAGAACCCCAGAACAACACTGAAGGTCAGGCAGTGTGATGTATTGTGATTGGTAGGCAGTGGAATGCTAAGTGTCCAAGTTGTAATAGTCAACTCATGCAGCAACATATTATGTAATATCTTTTCAACATTTAAACATTTTATTCTAACTACAAACCACAGAATGAAATGTTATGGTTGACTGGGTACTTCCTTCTGAGTACTATCCTCTTCAGATTTGGATAGGTCTACAATAAGAGTCAGTAACATGACATGAACCTACCTGTGGAGTAGACTCATTAACATGACATGGTCCTCGGTGTGGTGTAGACTCATTAACATGACATGGTCCTCCCTGTGGAGTAGACTCATTAACATGACATGGTCCTCCCTGTGGAGTAGACTCATTAACATGACATGGTCCTCCCTGTGGAGTAGACTCATTAACATGACATGGTCCTCCCTGTGGTGTAGACTCATTAACATGACATGGTCCTCCCTGTGGAGTAGACTCATTAACATGACATGGTCCTCCCTGTGGTGTAGACTCATTAACATGACATGGTCCTCCCTGTGGAGTAGACTCATTAACATGACATGGCCCTCCCTGTGGTGTAGACTCATTAACATGACATGGTCCTCCCTGTGGAGTAGACTCATTAACATGACATGGTCCTCCCTGTGGTGTAGACTCATTAACATGACATGGTCCTCCCTGTGGAGTAGACTCATTAACATGACAGTAGACTCATTAACATGACATGGTCCTCCCTGTGGTGTAGACTCATTAACATGACATGGTCCTCCCTGTGGAGTAGACTCATTAACATGACATGGTCCTCCCTGTAGAGTAGACTCATTAACATGACATGGTCCTCGGTGTGGAGTAGACTCATTAACATGACATGGTCCTCCCTGTGGAGTAGACTCATTAACATGACACTCCCATTAACATGACATGGTCCTCCCTGTGGAGTAGACTCATTAACATGACATGGTCCTCCCTGTGGAGTAGACTCATTAACATGACATGGTCCATCATGGTGTGGAGTAGACTCATTAACATGACATGGTCCTCCCTGTGGAGTAGACTCATTAACATGACATGGTCCTCCCTGTGGAGTAGACTCATTAACATGACAGTAGACTCATTAACATGACATGGTCCTCCCTGTGGAGTAGACTCATTAACATGACATGGTCCTCCCTGTGGTGTAGACTCATTAACATGACATGGTCCTCCCTGTGGAGTAGACTCATTAACATGACATGGTCCTCCCTGTGGAGTAGACTCATTAACATGACATGAACCTACCTGTGGAGTAGACTCATTAACATGACATGGTCCTCCCTGTGGAGTAGACTCATTAACATGACATGGTCCTCCCTGTGGTGTAGACTCATTAACATGACATGGTCCTCCCTGTGGAGTAGACTCATTAACATGACATGGTCCTCCCTGTGGAGTAGACTCATTAACATGACATGGTCCTCCCTGTGGTGTAGACTCATTAACATGAAAAGGTCCTCGCTGTGCAGTAGACTCATTAACATGACATGGTCCTCCCTGTGGAGTAGACTCATTAACATGACATGGTCCTCCCTGTGGAGTAGACTCATTAACATGACACAGTGACTCATTAACATGTCCTCCCTGTGGAGTAGACTCATTAACATGACATGGTCCTCCCTGTGGAGTAGACTCATTAACATGACATGGTCTTCCCTGTGGAGTAGACTCATTAACATGACATGGTCCTCGGTGTGGAGTAGACTCATTAACATGACATGGTCCTCGGTGTAGAGTAGACTCATTAACATGACATGGTCCTCGGTGTAGAGTAGACTCATTAACATGACATGGTCCTCCCTGTGGAGTAGACTCATTAACATGACATGGTCCTCCCTGTGGAGTAGACTCATTAACATGACATGGTCCTCCCTGTGGAGTAGACTCATTAACATGACATGGTCCTCCCTGTGGAGTAGACTCATTAACATGACATGGTCCTCCCTGTGGAGTATGATGGTCCTCCCTGTGGAGTAGACTCATTAACATGACATGGTCCTCCCTGTGGAGTAGACTCATTGACATGACATGGTCCTCCCTGTGGAGTAGACTCATTAACATGACATGACATGGTCCTCATGACTGTGGAGTAGACTCATTAACATGACATGGTCCTCGCTGTGGAGTAGACTCATTAACATGACATGGTCCTCCCTGTGGAGTAGACTCATTAACATGACATGGTCCTCCCTGTGGAGTAGACTCATTGACATGACATGGTCCTCCCTGTGGAGTAGACTCATTAACATGACATGAACCTACCTGTGGAGTAGACTCATTAACATGACATGGTCCTCCCTGTGGAGTAGACTCATTAACATGACATGGTCCTCGGTGTGGAGTAGACTCATTAACATGACATGGTCCTCGGTGTAGAGTAGACTCATTAACATGACATGGTCCTCGGTGTAGAGTAGACTCATTAACATGACATGGTCCTCCCTGTGGAGTAGACTCATTAACATGACATGGTCCTCCCTGTGGAGTAGACTCATTAACAGGACATGGTCCTCCCTGTAGAGTAGACTCATTAACATGACATGGTCCTCGATGTGGAGTAGACTCATTAACATGACATGGTCCACCCTGTAGAGTAGACTCATTAACATGACATGGTCCTCCCTGTGGAGTAGACTCATTAACATGACATGCTCCTCAGTGTGGAGTAGACTCATTAACAGGACATGGTCCTCAGTGTGGAGTAGATTCATTAACATGACATGGTCCTCCCTGTGGAGTAGACTCATTAACATGACATGGTCCTCGGTGTGGAGTATACTCATTAACATGACATGGTCCTTGGTGTGGAGTAGACTCATTAACATGACATGGTCCACCCTGTAGAGTAGACTCATTAACATGACATGGTCCTCCCTGTGGAGTAGACTCATTAACATGACATGGTCCTCCATGTGGAGTAGACTCATTAACATGACATGGTCCTCCCTGTAGAGTAGACTCATTAACATGACATGGTCCTCCCTGTAGAGTAGACTCATTAACATGACATGGTCCTCAATGTGGAGTAGACTCATTAACATGACATGGTCCTCCCTGTAGAGTAGACTCATTAATATGACATGGTCCTCGGTGTAGAGTAGACTCATTAATATGACATGGTCCTCGATGTGGAGTAGACTCATTAACATGACATGGTCCTCCCTGTAGAGTAGACTCATTAACATGACATTGTGCTTCTGGTAATGTAAGCTTGATGTGCATTTTTATTACAGTTAGTCATCAATGGGAAAAGCTGACTTACAGAGGAGACAGTCTGCCTATCCTTGAGGGACATACTCTGGTAGCACATAAAGTATGTATTATTCAAACTTATCATATCATCGGATCTCTACCCAGATCCCAGTCCCTGATGTCGCCTTGTAATCTCCCTTGATCTCAGTCCCTGGTGTTGCCGTGTTGTCTCCCCTGATCTCAGTCCCTGGTGTCGCCTTGTTACATGTTACATGTATTACACTGTGATATGTGTGTTACACTGTGATATGTGTGTTACACTGTGGTTAGTGTGTTACACTGTTGTATATGTGTTACACTGTGATACATGTGTTACACTGTGGTATACATGTTACACTGTGGTATATGTGTTACACTGTGGTATATGTGTTACACTGGTATATATGTTACACTGTGATATGTGTGTTATACTGTCGTATATGTGTTACACTTAGGTATGTGTGTTACACTTTGGTATGAGTGTTACACTGTGATATATGTGTTACACTGGTATATATGTTACTCTGTGATATGTGTGTTACACTGGTATGTGTTTTATACTGGTATATATGTTACACTATGGTATACATGTTACACTGTGGTATATATGTTACACTGTGGTATATGTGTTACACTGTGGTATATGTGTTAAATATATGTTACACTTAGGTATGTGTGTTCCACTTTGGTATGAGTGTTACACTGTGGTATATGTATTACACTGGTATATATGTTACTCTGTGATATGTGTGTTACACTGGTATGTGTGTTATACTGGTATATATGTTACACTGTGGTATATGTGTTACACTGGTATATATGTTACACTGTGGTATGTGTGTTACACTTTGGTATATGTGTTACCCTTTGGTTAGTGTGTTACACTGGTATATGTGTTACACTGGTATATATGTTACACTGTGGTATATGTGTTACACTGTGGTTAGTGTGTTACACTGTGTTATATGTGTTACACTGTTGTATATATGTTACACTTTGGTATATGTGTGTTACACTGTAGTATATGTGTTACACTGTGGTATATGTGTTACAATTTGGTATATATGTTACACTGTGGTATATGTGTTACACTGTGGTATGTGTGTTACACTGTGGTATATGTGTTACACTGTGGTATATGTATTACACTGTGATATATGTGTTACACTGTGGTTAGTGTGTTACACTGTTGTATATATGTTACACTGATATATATGTTACAATGCTGTATGTGTGTTACACTGTTGTATGTTTGTTACCCTGTTGTGTTTGTTTTACACGTTGGTATGTGTGTTGCACCGTGGTATGTGTGTTACATTGTGGTATATGTTACACTGTGGTATTTGTGTTTCCTTGTTATATGTGTGTTACCCCGTTGTGTGTGTGTAACTCTTTCTCTTCCTGTATTATATAGTTGTACTGTACATGTATTATGGAGTCAAATCATTAAAGAATGATCTTTTGGCATTGATGTAACGTTATACCTTCTACATGGTAGATTGTTATTCTGATCTGGTATTGTCAATTCGGGTTGGTATTTGTGATATGGTAATGATTTAGCTTAAAGGTTTGGGTATTGTGACTTTGGTTGGTGGACTTAATTAGACTATTGTGTCTTTTGTTTACAGATCAATTATGTGTTCCTGTATGAATATATAGGTGTTTATAATGGGAGACTGGCCGTAAACCCTGTGTGTGTATTGGAGCTGTAACCTCATTAATATTGGATTGTTTACATTCTATTCTTTACAGTGTGTCTTTAGATACCATGTAAACACTATCATGTCCTATGAATAATGATGTCTGTTAATTCTAGTTTAAAAGTCACATCTGTATTTATATACACCAAACAAAACTAAAGTTTGTTAATTGAAAAAAATCGTAAAGTACGACAAAATTATCAATTTTCATGGTGTATCCATTTGTCATTGATTATGTTTGTACTCTTCATCTACGAACTTATAACAAGTCAAAGTTTTAATTATCCACGAAATCAAGTGTCCACAAAAATTTTTTTTTTTTAAAAAACCACAAAGATTGAGCACCACAAAAATATTTGATTTTACAATGAACCAAGTTCAATTCAGCATTCAGTATAAAGGTGCCAGGGAAGGTAAGGGCAATTTCTGACATGAGGTGAAGTAGGATCCCCAACGGCAATAGTTCAAACAGACTGCTACAAGTCCTCAAGTCCATGCTTATTTCCTGTTCATTTTTGTCTTATTTTTACATTCTTTTCATTTTCATTTTTTTCACATTAAATATTATTTCTGTTTAAAAAACAGTAGAGCTTTACATGATTTGAAAGTTGCTAATTTTTCACAGGTGATATTCTGCATAAGATCTGAAAAATGAATTATTTCCTATCACTGCATGACCTCAAAAAGTCCACCAGAGTAGATGTCATTCTGGCAGCCTTTGCTAGTGATATCCTTTCAGCTGAGTAGTAAAGTGTTTCACTTGAGACCAAAGTGTCTCTAAGTTTGTTTTCCAGTAGGGGCATTGTAGTTTTCGTGATCCTTCCTACCACAGATTGGTGCTGTCGATTGTAGGGTTTTATACTTTGAATGAATTCGAAGTCTGGGAAATTGTCAGATCTTAATGGACCCAAGATCCATGAACCTGAGTATAGTAACTTAGGTAGAAGTGAAATAAAAGTAAAATGAAAAGGCAACATTTCATCAGTTGTACTGTCATCTGTCTAGCAGACTCATTATTACTGTAACAATAGGGCACAGGCTAAAACCACTGACACATCAGTCACGAAGCTGGCTACTATAAGATTAAAACTTAGTGGAATTTTTTTTCTGTATACTTAAGCATAGAGTACTTACCTTAAATATTTCTAGTTGGATATTTCAGCTGTTAAGAGTGTTGATATTAAATTCATTGGAGTTCTGTCTTTGCCTCTAAGGGATTTATTGAAATGAATTAACTCAACAACTTTTTTAACTATATGAAGTGCTTTTTTTTCTTAATATGATTGTTATTTTACTGCAATATGGTGCAATGTACATTTATTTCTGTTTTATATCTAAAAGATGTTTTGAATAAGGTGTTGAACAGTACCAATATGTAAGCTAAATCATAAGAGCAATATTTCGTTTAGCAGCCATTGTATATGTACTTTGGAATGCCAGGCCATAAATGTACTGGAGCAGAAGAGCTCTTTGTTTACCTGTGATAATAAGCCTACTTAAACCTTTGACGTTGACTTGTATATAGACATTCCTTGTTACAGGTATATATTACAAAAGATTGAAAAATGTATTTACCTCAATACAGAGCAGCATTAGAATACATTTTATTGAGTGAAATCAAACCAAAGTTTGTAAAGCACTTAAATTATAGATAAGATAACAGTATTTTACCAACATGAGAGGGGGGTACTTCACCAACTCACAATTCCTCTGCATTTAATGTCAATACACTAAAATCTACCTTTTACAACAGATTCAGTGTAAAATTTATTTTAAGGGTCTTATACATTTAGTATTTGTTGGCATCTTAGGTAGGTCTGAGGTTTTGAAGCCTAGCTGTCTTACATAAATCTGCCACTTTGTATTCTCCTATAGAAAACTACAATTTTACCTCCTCTATTTGGATATATCTGGTGAAGGCGGGCTCATTCATTAATAAGTTGCCAAGTTGTTGTATGATGAAGTAATGGTAGACAGCTTAGGAATATATCCCAAATATCTTAATCCCCTCCCCCTCCCCCAACCGCTCCACGATGGATATATCTTAAATATTTCTTAATCCCCTCCCCCTTCCCCACCCCTCCACGATGGATATATCCCAACCCTCTAAACCTCTCAGGTGTTAAACATAAGCTGGTGTTGTACCTTGGGTGTTGAACATAAGCTGGTGTTGTACCTTGGGTGTTAAACATAAGCTGGTGTTGTACCTTGGGTGTTAAATATAACCTGGTGTTGTATTTTGGGTGTTAAACATAAGCTGGTGTTGTACCTTGGGTGTTAAACATAAGCTGGTGTTGTATCTTAGTTGTTAAACATAAGCTGGTGTTGTATCTTGGGTGTTAAACATAAGCTGGTGTTGTACCTTGGGTGTTAAACATAAGCTGGTGTTGTACCTGGGGTGTTGGTGTTGTACCTTGGGTGTTAAACATAAGCTGGTGTTGTACCTTGGGTGTTAAACATCAGTTGGTGTTGTATTTTGGGTGTTAAACATAAACTGGTGTTGTACCATGGGTGTTAAACATAAGCTGGTGTTGTATCTTAGGTGTTAAACATAAGCTGGTGTTGTATCTTAGGTGTTAAACATAAGCTGGTGTTGTACCTTGGGTGTTAAATATAACCTGGTGTTGTATCTTGGGTGTTAAATATAACCTGGTGTTGTACCTTGGGTGTTTTATATATAAGCTGGTGTTGTATTTTGGGTGTTAAACATAAGTTGGTGTTGTATCTTGGGTGTTAAATATAAGCTGGTGTTGTATCTTGGGTGTTAAATATAAGCTGGTGTTGTACCTTGGGTGTTAAATATAACCTGGTGTTGTATTTTGGGTGTTAAACATAAGTTGGTGTTGTATCTTGGGTGTTAAATATAAGCTGGTGTTGTACCTTGGGTGTTAAATATAACCTGGTTTTGTATTTTAGGTGTTAAACATAAGCTGGTGTTGTATCTTAGGTGTTAAACATAAGCTGGTGTTGTACCTTGGGTGTTAAATATAACCTGGTGTTGTATCTTGGGTGTTAAATATAACCTGGTGTTGTACCTTGGGTGTTTTATATATAAGCTGGTGTTGTATTTTGGGTGTTAAACATAAGTTGGTGTTGTATCCTGGGTGTTAAACATAAGCTGGTGTTGTACCTTGGGTGTTAAATATAACCTGGTGTTGTACCTTGGGTGTTAAATATAACCTGGTGTTGTATTTTGGGTGTTAAACATAAGCTGGTGTTGTATCTTGGGTGTTAAACATAAGCTGGTGTTGTACCTTGGGTGTTAAATATAAGCTGGTTTTGTATCTTAGGTGTTAAATACAACCTGGTGTTGTACCTTGGGTGTTTTATATAAAAGGTGGTGTTGTATCTTGGGTGTTAAACATAAGTTGGTGTTGTATCT